CTCCTGACATTTTACGTTTTTATAAAATATTACTTAATGCAATAGTTTTATAGTTTAATCTTTGTTTCGTGAATGCTATAGATACGCGTAGGCGTAATTGTGTATTTATTGTTGGTCTATGTGTGATAGCTGCGAACCGGCGACACGCGTCCCGATATTAAAAGAAAGCAGAAGGCATTTCTAGTGCCTCATTATTTAGATTTATGTGGTTTATACGCTGCTACGCGTTTCATAATGCTGCCAACAAGTGTTTCAGATTTGTTAATTTTACAACGGAACAACAAAGAATAATGAATACAAAAGTAAACACGGGCGGCTTCAATAGAACGGAGGAATTACTATTATCATCGTGTTTAGCAAGCGAATTTACGGTCGTAATTAAGTAAGAGACACCTTATAAGTTACCATTTTCAGAATCATCGATCGTTTCTCTGCAAGTTCCACTACTATGGAAGCTGATAGTATATATGTGACGGCGCCTGCACCGTTGATCGCACGGCGTCACCTATGAAGTTAGTCAGAATTCTTGAAAACAACACGTGCACCGCACACTTGCCTACTATTGTAATAGCATAGCTACTGCAAAAATTATAAAAAAAAAACTTATAAGAAAAATCTCGGGCATAATTTAAATATTAATAGGCTCACTTACTCACACAGGCTTAATATTTAGTTATCGGTTAACCAACCCAAGAGAGAGAGAGCCGTGGTAGCTCAGATGGTTAACGCTCGTTGTAAATTTCACAGTACGCGAGCAAACCGGGTTCGATCCTCGCCGGCACCGATGAAATTGTTAATTGCAATTTTAAGTGCTGATTTACCACGTACTCGGCGGTGAATATACGTCTCTTACGTTTCAAATTTTAGAGAATTCAGGCGAGTCGTCTTACATTAATGACGTTATGCCACACAATGGATTGAATTTATTACATCCATATATCTCCCTTTAGATACTGTAGCGTGACAAGTTCTAGTCATAATAGGTACTTTAATTTACATCTCATATCGCTACAAAATTCAGAAATTCATAAAATAGATTTGTGCAATTACCTAGGTGGAAGGGTTCTTTTCTATATAGCCTGTACATCAGGTAATTTTTGTTGATACAACCACCTTACACATATTTTTGCTGCCTATCCGCAGTGCATCCACAGCTGTACATCATTCTGAAGGATTAGAAAGCTGCTGTGTTTCTATTTGAAGGGTTTAAGTGCCAATAAGGGGTTAAAGCGACAATAGACTAATGGCAGGATGCGGATCACGAATTCAAGAAGGTCGTGTGTTCGAATCCGCCGTTCGGTCGGCGTGAGCCATCGTAACACAAGCAATTTAAGCTTACCACGAGTGGTTAAAGGGAATATTAGTAATATTTATGACATACTTAATATTCTTTTTTTTTAAATAATTACAAGCTATGTGGCATTTTATTTTATATTTTCAGCGGTGACAAGGCATATCTGCCTTCGTGCTTTCAATAAGTATCACGTGTAATCTATATTAATGAAAATGATTATATTCTGTTTTGATTGAAGTAAGTTGAAGGTGTGTAATATAGACTCTTAATGTATCATGTTTTTATTAAGAAAACACAAATTATGATCAAACGCACGACCTAATATTTTTCTTGAGTTAGGCAAGATTGGTCAAAATTAAACTTTGCGACCATTTGACAGTCATTCGTGTTATTTATGTGCTCCGTGGTTAGATTTGATTTTTGAGATAAGGTAATGAAATTATTATTGCGTTGCGTGGACCATCCCCGCTCTTAATTGGTTTAAACACTTGGGTCGACTCGTGCGGCACTGTCAAAAATGGATAACGGAAAAAAGCCTCGGACTGTGTTTATAATTGAGTACCCAGATGACCGAGCCTTGCTCGGTTTTTTAAAATTACATTTAGATACAAATTACTTGAATAATATTTTTTGATGAACTGAACAGGTTATTTGAATAAAAAAAAATCATGACTGCAATTAGTTTAATTAAAATTTTCGTATTTTTAAAAAATACAAAAAAAAAAGGCTCGACATAATAGATTTTCTCACGAAAGAAGGAAACTTGAAAAAAAAAAAGGAAAAGAAGTCGGACCCAAGACGGGACGCGAACCAAGGCATTACGATTTCACGACCGCTCAATATCCACTTGAGCTATTACGTTCATTAACAAAGTGTCAAAATTTACCTTCTTATATTGTAGCAGTTTTTCATTGTCTGAAAACACGGATAAAAAGATATTTTCTAAAAATACATCCTAGCTAGATCGATTATTGCCCCCGAAACTCCCTGGACACTAAATTTTATGAAAATCGTTGGAGCAGTTATATATATATATACACAAGAATTGCTCGTTTAAAGGTAAAGGATATAGAAATTTAAAATTTGCTTTATTCATATGTCTATATGATCGCCTTGTCCAGGGGTTATTATCATCCATAAATTTCTTAATATTATAATAACCCTTTTTATGCAAATTTAGTTAAATATCGAAGTCAGCAATAAACATTTAAATTTAAAGTCAAAATAAACTTTTCTCTAAGCTGTAACTGTTCTATTTCGTATTTCACGATAATTCGTGGAATGAGAAATAGAAAGGAGCTTTCAACAAAAAGAGTCCTTTAGTGTCAATGCATTGCTCCAGAAAAAAGTAATATTTACCAAATGCGAGGTTTATTGGTATTTACAGTAATTTTCAAAACTTGCAAGTTTATTTTTTTAATGTTATCCTTACACTAGGGTACTCTCCTGTATCGTAGTTACAGTTTACAAACATAATTTTTACAAGGACAAACATCCAGACCTGAAACAATTATTTGTAGGCAATGCAAATACTTGTTTCGTGCGGGATTCGAACCCGTGGTCTTTAGATTCGCTCCTCACTACTAAGCCACAGCACAACCGAGTCGTCATGTTATAAATTAAAAACGTTAACATACTCGTAGTTAAACTACTCGCTACCCTGCTGGATACCAGCGAGCGCCTGCCTGCTGCGGTTATCATCTTTCAACATTAACCATTTTCCACCAAACACGTATTGCTACACGGAAAAATTGGATTTAATAAATACGATATATTTATTTTATATTTTATTTCCATATTTTTTTTTCAGAATAAGGATGACAAACGAGCACACAGTCCACCTGATGGTAAGTGGATGCTGTGGCCCATAGACATCTACATTTATCCTTACTTAAGAATCAAAATGCAGATGCGTTGTCATCCCTGAGGACTAAGATGGAATGCCTCATTTCCAGTAAAAAAGGTCTCCGAATGTCTACACTTACCATACGAAACACAGCATTATTAAGCTGCTATTTTACGCTGGTGTTCTGTGAGAGCGTGGTCCTTCCCCGGTTGAGCCGACCCATTGGTGCTACAATAATAACATAGCTGCAGCGTGGCTCTATCACTTATATATTTCATAAAGTAGTACTGAAGTGTAGCTCTCTCTGCTACATTCGCTCGATCACTAGACGATCAAAGCCTCCCCGTCACCACTAATCCCAGCTCCACTATTAGTGTAGTGGTGTTGGGAGCAATGATGCTGGGTTAATGGTGACGGGAATAATACATTGAGGGATGCCGGAAGGTGCTATTTAGACTATTAGCTATTTAATTTTTAACATCTTTAATATAATGTATTTCTGCAAAGTAACGCCTGATTCCATTAGTTATACTGGAAGATTGTTAAGTCAACAGATGTTATAGGACACTCCAATGCAGAATCTGCAATACAGGATAGCTAAAAACATTCTGACAATGAACACAAAATAACAATTTTAGCACAAAAAATATTCTTTATTTTGGGATTCAAATCCAGGGCCTACGACTTACCAGTTACACTGTGCCACGCAATTGTCAACTTATAATCAGATTAAGAGTAGTTAGGTAGCCCCAGGGGTGCTTGTTTCTTGTACAGTAATTGATTAAAATTGTATGGTGTGGCTCCGCTACCAACTTTTATATCGATAAATTTTCATTTGAAATGAGCCCCTAATTATATTGCATTCAGTACATTCGGAATCACAACTACTTTGGCTTTATTATTATGTTATGACTTTCAAATCTAACAGAATTGTTTTAAAATTTATTCGCATTTCAATAAATTCGAGTATTCTTACTCGTAGTATGAAATGGCCTTTAATGACATTTCATACAGTACACTCAGTATCGCAACTACTCAAGCGTCATTACTCTATTACGAAATCCGAATAGATCAGCTTAATAATTATGATTGTTTTAATTTTCATATTAACTTTCAATTTTTAAAAATATTTTCAAAGTATACTGGCAACATTTTTATTATATAAAAGCCTACACATTGAATAAAACTATTTCTGTACGGATTAAATTTTTTTTGATATGTCCAACATTTTCTGCCAACTTCATATTATTGTGTCAGAGCTCAAGTTGCTCGCGCTCAACCTTCGCATCAAGCCTCTATGAACAGTCTTCGCAATAATATTAAAAGCCAAAATACAGAAAATAATTGCCATCACTTCTTAATACATCCCTCAGTTACAGTTAGATATCAAACATTAATTTAAAGTCTTGCTGCGTTTGTCTTAATAACGGATAGATGTTAGGAAGAAAATACAAAAGCATATGCTTGGATCAAAAATTAATAGTAGAATTAGATAGCTTGATGAATTTTCCTTTTTTAAAATGTTTAAAAAATTTATTGGTTTCATATTATGAATTTTAATTTACAAGACAATCCACATAAATTTTTTTACGTTATCTGATTTCGCATATCCTTATTAATTAAAAATGATTTTGTTTCAGAAGAAATTTAATCAATAATTGTCAAAACTTCTCGACCAGCCCGCAAAAGTCCAATACTAGTCATGACTTTTCCGTTTTTGGGGAGGATTTATCTTAATCGCTTCGCCTAGTTCGCACCAGGGATAACAATAGCAGCTTCATACTCCGCTATTAAATGTGCATCAACGTCGCACTAACTACGGATCTAATACAGTCATGGTTAGGTTACCCCGAACATACAATGCAAAGTTTAGCCAGGTTGACTTATTTCGCTCATGTAAGTTAACTTTCAAAAAAGAAGGTCAAAAACTCTTATAAATTTTAAGCTCTATAAACCAAAGTTATACTATAAACTTTTCTTTTCTTTTTGTCTTTATTTGTGTCATTATATCTGTGTATGTCTATAGTGGGTGGTATTTATATATTACTTTCGGAAACATGTATACATATAGTTTAGAGTATTTACTTAATTATCTATAATATTGATAGGTTTAAGTGGATGGCATCCTTGAATTCATTGGTATATGTATATAGTTAACTTTAGCACTAACAAAGTTTGATTGTTACAGTGCCCTTTGTTAATTTGGGGGTAACCTGTTATTGGCATTACTACATAAAACATAGTTATAAGATTTATAATTTGTAAAGCTGTTGGTTTACTAAATAAAAAAAATAAAATAAAAATAAAAGCATCAGGCTTGTCACAACTTTGACGCAGCCGCCCGTCATTTTACGTTTGACGTACAAAAGAGGGTTATACCGCTATCTGTCGAAAGCCACTTCATCTTTTTGACAAGATACGTGAATGGAAACCCATTCACGTATTTGTGCAGTAATCGAACCCACGGCCCTCAGAGATGCAAGTCAATGCTAAGCCGCTGTACCACGAAACCGCCAATTTTGTTATTATTTTGTGATCATTGTGAAAGTATGTTTTATAAAAAAAATCCTGGAATTTACAATAGGCCAACTAGTCATTACTATAAAATCGACATTAAAACTTATTCAGGCGAATCAAAGCGACTCCGATACTTAAATAATTTAAAGCATAAAAGAAAAACAACAAAATCTAAAATAATTTTAATCATAAAATAATGAACCCCAGTCTCTCTTTCATCCTCACTAGCGACCCTCACCAGTGATTTTAATTGCTTCTATTTGAAGCCGTCCTGAATTTAGAGTTTACTTATTAGTAATAAGTTTATATTGTCAAATGTGATATGGTCACTTAAACAATAATTAAATGTGAATTGAGTTTCAAAAACTTAATGTAAGTATATACAGTTTAAATTTTTTTTTATACAAAAGGTCAAAATTATTGTAACAAAAATAAATCCATTATCTTTTATATTTTTCGTAAACTCATTAAATGAAAAAATGTTTTTAGTATACCTTTGAAATCGTTTTAAATTAAACTTTTAGGTGTGTAATTACGTGTCGAAATGATGCACTGCCGGAAATACCGCCAAACACGCACAATTTTTTGTGTATAGTACTGGTAACAAAGATAATAAAAATAGTTAATTTAATAATAATGAATTATCTAAAAAAATGTACTACCTGTACATTAGGAATCAATATCACATCGCGTGTAATGAATAGATCTTTTGAAACAGAAACAGAAACAAAAACTTGTTTATTCAATGTAGATTATAACAAATACTTATTGAAAGTCACTTTTTTCATTTACCACTGGTTCGCAAAAAAAAAACCTCTGTCCTGGGAAGAACCAGCAAGAAACCCAGCGGGACTATTTTTTTTCCAATAATAGCTTACAATCATGTTTACAATTAGCAACACAAGACAAATTAGAAATAGCTTGGTAGCGATCACCCTTCCCAGGGGTTATTATCATCAATAAATTCCTTAATATTATAATAACCCTTTTTATACAAACTTAGTTTAATAACATTTTTGAACTTTTTGTGTGATAAATTTTGTATATTTTTTGGGATTTTGTTGTAAAAGCGTATACATCGCCCCAAGAATGAATTACTGACTCGGTGGAGTCGAGTAACTGGTACCACTAGCTTGTGTCTGTTCCTAGTATTTACAGAATGAATATCACTTACTTTCGCAAAACTACTTTTATTTTTGTGTACGTACATTACATTTTCATAAATGTATTGAGAGTTCAGAGTTAAAATATTAATTTCCTTAAATTTTTTGTCTCAGTGACTCTTTTGGTTTTAAATTATATATTGCTCTAATGGCCCTCTTCTGTAAAATAAATATAATTTCAGTGTCAGTCGAGTGTCCCCAAAAAGTGTTGCTTTTAAATCTACCAAGCTTTACTAAAATTGAATTTTTAATGAAATGAACCACATTTAATAGAATATTTTTAGCAAATCAATATGACACATATAACGAACACATAGAAAGAAGTGTGTATAGTTCAAGCATTGACCGCAACCAGGTATTAGGTATAAGTGTTATTGTCTCTATACTTGGATATAATTACATAATGAAACATCGGTCGGGTGACTCGTAAAGTGTTCAATGTTTTATATAAAATAATGGTTTCTTATGAAATTGATACAAAAAAAACTCATGGATAGTTTATTTGTTAGAATTAAATCGAAGAAAAGTAAACGTCTGACACCCATATTTTTATTATACTTAACTGATCACCCCCAATATTTATATTTTAACAATATTTTTATATAAGATATACGACAAAAACCTAAGCGAAAAAATAACAATGCCAGAGTATCTATAGAACTTGTCTCACCCAAAATGTGGTCATCACGAATGTCGGATGCGATATTTCTCTACTGCTTTAAGATAATTTTAAAAAAAGCACTCCATGGCGATAGTATAATCGTAAAATAAAACTGAATTAAGCTAGAATCGGCTCTATTGAAAAATTTTAGTTCCACATGTTCAAAAAATTTGGTAAAATGTGATGTTAAAAACGCTGAATAATCATTGTACTTATTTCAGATCTTAAGAGGACATCACATTTTTTTAATATGTTCTATTCTCTTTTTTATTAAAGTAATCAGCTTCTTCATCTTTCGACCAATCCATTGATAAACATAGGTCTCTCATTATAGTAAGTATTTGTCATGATCGCCTTGAATAGCAGACGAATCAACAATCACAGTACATCCTGTGCTCTTTCTGGCAATGGCTGGGTCTTGCACCATTGATGCTGCTCCCAGTTGCCGGTTTGGATATTTTACTCTATTTACTTAATTATACGGTGGCACTACTTCGGAGGCGTGGAGCAGAAGTGCGGTGGTCTTGTTCTTTAAGAAAGGCGACAACGCTCTCTTGAAGAACTACAGACCGATTTCCCTTCTGAGCCGCGTCTACGTGCTATTTTCGAGAGGCATTACGAATCGTCTCGCACGCAGACTCGACGACTTCCAACCTACTGAAAAGGCTTCAGTACCATAGACTACATACATACCTACATACATACCAAATATAGACCACATTTTGGGTGAAACAAGTTCTATAGATACTTCGGCATTATTATTTTTTCGCTTGGGTTTTTGTCGTATATATTATATAAAAATATTGTTAAAATAAAAATATTGGGGATTATCAGTTAAGTAAAGTAAAATATGGGTGTCAGACGTTTACTTTTCTTCGATCTAACTATAACAAATAAACTATTCATGCGTTTTTTTGTATCAATTTTATAAGAAACTATTATTTTATATAAAATATTCAACACATTACGAGTCACCCGACCGATGTTTAATTATGTAACTTATATCCAAGTATAGAGACAATATCACTTATACCTAATACCAGGTTGCGGTCAATGCTTGAACTATATACACTTCTTTCTATGTGTTCGTTATATGTGTCATATTGATTAGCTAAAAATATTCTATTAAATGTGGTTCATTTAACTAAAAATTCAATTTTAGTAAAACATGGTAGATTTAAAAGCAAAGATCTATTCATTACACGCGATGTGATATTGATTCATAATGTACAGGTAGTACATATATTTTTTTAAATAATTCATTATTATTAAATTAACTATTTTTATTATCTTTGTTACCAGTACTATACACAAAAAATTGTTTGGTGATATTCCTGGCAGTGCATCATTCCGACACGTAATTACACACCTAAAAGTTTAATTTAAAACAATTTCGAAGGTATACTAAAAGCATTTTTCGTTTATGTAGTGAGTTTACAAAAAATATAAAAGATAATGGTTTTATTTTTAAGCTATTGCATAGCTTCTATCGCGGGCCTTGAGTGCGGGAAAATCCAGAAATTTCGTAACGAAAAAAACCTCACGCTCTCCGACGGGCACGGAGGTGTGGCTTGAAGGCCGTGCATTGTCTAACGATGGTCTAACGTCGTTTCTTTTCCTCAGTCGTCGACACGGTGTTTATGTATAAAGTGTTTTGAAATTTTGAATATGAATGAACAAAGTGCATTTATTATTAAGGCTGCTCTCTCGCAAAAAGCTTGAAAAAAGCGTGCAGATGAACCAACTTTTCGTCGAGACTTACAGAGAAATTACATATGAAAAAAATAGCTAGTAATCTACATGATCTGATACGTAATTTGGTTTAGCCATAATTTTTTTATCGGTGTCACATAATAAATAAAAAAATACCCAAATCACCTCCAAATCGTTGACATGAAACCACTTTACTCCTTCATTGTTCAAAGGAATATAAAAAAAATATCTACTGCTTTGCAATACAAAATAAAATAATTTGGTTTGGTTACTTTTTAGAAATATGTATTATTTTTATGATAATAAATTAAAAATGCGTCCCGATTAAATACTGCGTCTATATCACCCCCGCATTCGTCTACGAATTCAGTGCGGGCGCATCATGTTGCTAGGTGGACGTACGCCGCGTTGCGAGAGCTCAGCACTACGAAATAAAATCGTAAAATATTACTGCAAAAATTTAATTTTGTTAATAGTGGAGTAGGTTTTTATATATTTTTATAGAGTAAGGGTGACAAATAAGCATACAGTCCATTAACTTGTAAGTGGATGCTGTCGCCCATAGATATCTACATCAGTTATCGATTAAAAATCAAAATGTAGACGCGTAGTCACCTCCGAGGACTAAGATGGAAATGTCTAATTTCTAATACCAAACAGTTTCGTTTCTCTTCTTAAGCATATCATGTTCTGTTGTTCTGCTGCTCCTCGCCGGTCCGAGTATTTTAATTCTTATGTAAACTAAATAGGTGCGAACAAGATGGGCATTGGGCATTGGCATATGCCATCTATCGGAAGCCATAAAAGTTTTCTGTCGTTGACTGTTATCGTCTTTTACGACA